GCCTAGTTTTCACAGCTGATATTGAGCTTCTCCAGAGGTTCCTTCCACAGATGTAGTCGATCTGATTCCTATGCCTACCATCAGGTGAAGTCCACGTGTATAACCTGCGTTTGTGTCTCTTATAAAATGTATTTGCAATGAATAAGTCATTGATTTTACCAAACTAGAGACACAAAAACCCTATATGAGGAAAACTACAAAACTACTATTAAAAGAAATAATAAGTTACCTAATTGAGTAAAAAAAATTTCCCTGTTCATAGACAGGAAGACTTAACTGTGAAAACGATAATCCTACCAAAATCATTCTACAGGTTTAATGCAATCCTAACACAGATACCAACTTCACTCTTCAGGGAGATTAAAAAGACAATTTCCAATTTTGCTTGGAAAATACACATCAAATAAGCAAAGCTCTTCTGAAAAATAAAAGCAAAGTAGAATGCATCACATTTTCTGATCTCTACGTCTATTACAGAGTTGTAGAATACCAACCAGTGATATTGGTGCAATGATGGACACAAAGACCAATGGAATACACTTGAGATCCCTGACATCAACCCATCTACCAACAGTCAATTAATATTTGATGAGGAATGAAGCCTATTGAGTAGGGAAATAACAGCCTTTTAACAAATGGTGTTGGCAAAGCTGGACAACTACCTACAGAAGACTGAAACAGAATCCATATCTCACTCCAGACAAAAACCAACTCAAAGTGGATCAGATACCTAGGGTAAACCATAAAGATCATCAAAGAAAAGTATAGAAGCCCTAGTCTATGGCTTAAATAGGCTTACAAACATAGCCAAAAATCACAAACAGGAAAGGATAAAAATTAATGAATGGGACCTTCTAAAACTCAAATCCCTGTGTGTACCAAAATCATTTACCAAAAGGTTGAAACGAAAGCCCACAGATTGTGTGTGTGTGTGGGGGGAAATATTTGGCAATGACATTTCAGATAAGGAACTCAAAATTTATAGAATACTACAGTTCCTCCACAAGAAAAAGACTGATAACCCAATTACAAAATGAGCAAAAGACATGAAAAGACTTCACCAAGAAGGAATTAGGATGGCCAAGAAATACGTGAGAAAATGTGCAAAATCACTAGCAATCAGAGACATGCGAATCAAAATAACTCCTTATGTACATACTGAACTCACATTCTTACCACAAAATCTCCAAGTTACAAAAAAAAAGTAATCAATGCATTAGCTAATCAATCACTGACCCCATCTAGACAAATCTTCCTCTTTCAGTGTTCCTTTCCTCACTTGCTCATTACTTCAAATTCAGCTGGTTACTCCACCTCAAGGGACAAAGTACATACTCAGTCTCTCAGGTATGAACATCTACCTGGCCCTCAACACTCGTCATAGCTACATTTATTTTGTCTTGTTTATTGCATGATTCAGAAAGGAGCTCTAGTGGTGGAGTGGTTTAAACACTTGTGTGCTAACTGAAAGATCAGTGGTCCCAGGGAGAAAGTTGTGGCAGTCCCCAGAAAGAACCCCTACTGGGCAGTTCTTCTCTGACCTGCAGTATCATTATGATTCTGAAACAACTCAGTGGAAAGAGCTTTTTTGTTGTCACTATTGTTTGCTTGTTTTTCATTCCTTTGTTCAGAATTCAAACTTCGTCGTTGACTTGGCATATAACAACAAATGAATGTTGACCAGTGATGTGCTGGTAAATATTTAACAGCCGTATTTCCGTGTTGGAGTCAAGGATTCTGGGGCTTCGTCTGACATATTTTGGACATGTTGCCAGGAGGGACGGGTCCTTGGAGAGGGACATCATGCTTGGGAGGGTGGAGGGACAGCGCAGGAGGGGAAGACCCTCTATGAGATGGATTGATTCGGTGACTGGGGTAATCAGGATGGGTGTGTCAGAGGCGGTGCGGTTGGCGCAGGATAGAGCAGTGTTTAGGGCTGTTGTGCATAGGGTCACTATGAGTCGGAAACGACTCGACGGCACATAACAACAACAACATTTCCGTGTTGGGGTAGGAAGAGTCCTGATTTGTGCCATTTGTCAGTTTCCACAGGACGAATGCTCCCGTTGCGGCTACTTCACATAACTAGTTCATAAAATTCTCTCAAGAGTGTTGTACTCCACTACAGCACTTAATGCTGACTGTCACACACTTTCACTTTAAGTGACACATTGGCCTTGTGGCAAAGTGGTTGAGAGCTTGGGCTTTTCATCCATTTCCTCATGGAGTCAGTGTCAGTGGAGTCAGGTCAACAGCAATTGTGATATTATTGCTTTAAAGATGATGAGGATTTCAATGAAAGTGAAATTATTTTTTAAGTTTATGTTAATAAAGTGTTTAAGACAATGTCTGCTCCTTAATAAGGGCATTGTAGAAAATAAAAGGCAAACCAAAAAGCACTTTCTGATTCACTGACCACAGAGAATCACTCTTACACACACACACACACACACACGCACACACTCACACTCACACATCAAGTGCACTGTCCTCAGGTGGATTGATTCCAACTCATAGCAACCCTCTATTAGGTTTGGGAAATGGTAAATCTTTGTAGAAAAAGATTGCACATTGTTTTCCCTCAGAGCAGCTGGTGGATTCAAACTGCTGAGCTTTTAGTTAGCATAACAACACTTAACACACTCGGCTACCAGAGCTTCTCCGTCCAGAAGAACTCAGAACCCCTGAAATACAGATTCAAGTTTCTCCTCAAGATAGCCAGCTTTATCATATAAAACTACTAAAATATATCCTATAACTAGATTTACATGTACCATAAAACAATATTATATTCTCACCCCTGATATCTATAAATGTGACCTTACTTGAAAATAGGGGGTTTGCAGATATTAAGATGTGATCATACTGGCTCTAAATTCAATGCCTAGAGTCTGCATAAGAGAAAGGAGAGGACTATTTGGACCCAGACATAGATGTATGAACTGGAGAGAGGAAGAAAGGCACCCAAGTGTAGAGGACTCTCCTTCATAGGGTTGCTATGAGTTGCCTGCGACTCGATGGCACTTAACAACAACATAGATGTATGAAGATGGGTTGCATGAAGATAATGGCAGATGTTGCCATGGGACAACTACAAGCCAAAGGATGCCAAGAATTGCTGTCACCAGAAGTCAGGAAGAGGCAGAGAAACATTCTTCCCTAGATTCTTCAGAGGGAGCAAGGGCCTTCTCATATCTTACTTTGGGAATCTAGGCTCAAGAACTGTCAGAGAGTAATTTTCTATTGTTTTAAGTTACCTAGTTTGAGATGCTTGAGGCTTTTTAAGAGAGATAGTGATAATTTATTACAGCAACCCTAAAAAAGCAATATAGAATCATAGTTTTTTACTTTTCCAGCACCCTTGGGTGGTACAAGCAATCAATAACTCACTGCTAGCTGAAAGATTGGTGCTTTGAACACACCCAGAAGACAGTCCAAGTAATTGACTTCTGAAAGGTCACAGATTTGAAAGCCTTAGGGAACAAAATCTAATCTACATATATGTGGCCCCCAATAAGTCAGAATCCACTTCATGCCAACTAACTACGACAATAGCCTCTCTTTATGTAAGTTACCACAGTATGTGTTAACTTATGTGTTTGCTTAGAAGCAGGAATGGCATCCACTTCCTAAATAACATGCCTCTGGAAATTCTATGAACTTTGATAAATGTCGATAGTTGTAGAGGGGCTTCAGGCCTTTTGCTCATAGGGTTGCTATAGGTTGTGCTCCACTCAATGGCAATCAACAACAGCAACAACAATGTGTTTGTAGACTATGGTGGCCTAGTGGCAAGAAGCTGTACTGCAATCCCGAAGGCACACAGTTCAAGGCCACCAGCTGCTCCGTGGGAGAAGGATGGGCAATCCCTCTGGTGCAATTAACTGCCTCTGAAAACTCACTGGAGGCTCAGCTATGGGTCGGTTCTGACTCTATGGTACACAACAACAACAATGTGTTTGTGTACTTAAAGATTAAGATCTGTCTCAAGCTTATCAAGGATGAAGATAGTGTCTGTTCCCTTCATTGTTGTCCAGTCAGTGTTTACCAACCACACACACACTACTTTTACATTTGTTTTGCCTCATAGTGACCTTACAGGACAGAGTAGAACTGCCCATAGAGCTTCCCAGGCTGTACTCTTCACAGGAGATTTACCACAGCTTTTTCCTATGGAGAGGCTGGTAGTTTAGAACCAGAATTCAGTTGGGAGCCAAGTCCTTACAGATGGCACCTCCAGGGATCCTAGTGTTTGGAATCAAACCCTCAAATCCTCTGCTTTGGAGTCAATTTTAACTCATGGTTCCCCTCCATCAGTTTTCTCCTGCAGAATAACTGGTGAGTTTCAATCACTAACCTTTCTATTAGCAATCAGTGTTTAGCCTGCTAAGCCACAGGGCTGTTATGTTAGCACAGTCTCTGTATTAGGTCTCTAATGAATGATGAAGGAAAAAAAATAGATGAATTAGCAGAGTCCTCTCCTTTCCATCAGGTGGTGCACAACAGATACACACAGCAAAGCAGGCAGTGTCAGTGTGCAGTGGTTAGTTGTTGTCAAATTGACTGTGACTCATAACCATCCCATGTGTGCAGAGTTGAAACTACTCCATCAGGTTTTCAAGGCCATGGCCCTTTTTTTTTTCACCATGACCTTTTGAAAGCAGATCTCCAGGGCTGACTTCCAAGGTGCCTCTGGATGGGTCTGAACCATCAACCTTTCAGATAGTAATCAGGCTCATAGCCATTTGCACTCCTCCTACTGTTCAGCAGGTATTTGAATAAATTTTAACTAGAGACACACAAAGACTTGATTAAGCTTAAATTTTATTAGCTTGGGTTGTCTCTGGTGTTGCGGAAGGAGGCTGAGGCAGGAGCTGAGTGACTGATGGGCAGAGTCCAGTCTTGACTTGGGGTTGGTCCTAGTCACTGAAACCTGAGGAGAGTGGGGGAAAGAAGGAAGACATGGTAAAAAAGGAAGTTTTACGACTGACTACAAGTCCGCAAAGAACATTTACCTCGACACCCATCCAGAGTTAAACCTCTCGTACCTCCGAATCACCTTTTCACTTATAAGTAATCAATAATCTAGTATGTACATAGACTGTTCCACACATTCCTATAGAGTTTTTCCTCATAGTCCCCTTTTCTCCATTGGTCTGGTCACTCTCCTTTCTCCTATCTTACTCTTCTTCCAGGAAACCTTCTTAAATTTATTGCCTTAGCTCCTCCCTAAGTCCTCAGTACCAAGGCCTGGATGTGTTTTGGTTTCTGTGCCTCAGTGCCTGCTTCTTGAGTGAGTATCCTTATTTAGGTGGATATCTCCATAGTATTTTGTCATCTTTATGTTCTAGGAAATGAATAAATAGATTTAAGGATTTCCTAACAGGTAAGGTGGCCTGCCACATCTTTCTTCATTGGAGTGAGTGGTGGGTTCAATTCGCTACCTTCTGATCAGCAGCCAAATGTTTAACCACTTTGTCACTAGGGCTCCTAGGGAGAAAAATGTGCCACTCTGCTTTGGTAAAGATTACAGCCTAGGAAGTTCTATGGGGGACATTTTATTCTTTTCTAAAGAGTTGTGATGAGTCCATATTGACTTGATAGCAACAGATTTGGATTAAGGTTATTGGAAGGGGACTTTGAAGCCAGCAGTGGCTGCAAAGAAGAGCCAAATGCTTCCAATTCTCGGCGTTCTCATCACTGGGAAGGTGTCACGGCGCAAGTGTACAAAGGGAAAGGTAAGAATAGGAAACTTAACGCGGGCTAGTAGAAGAGGTGATGGCATCTCACCAGAGAGAAGTTGAGAGAGAGATATAAACAGTAACAATAACCACTACTTCTTAGATAGCGCCCTAAACTTTTTACTTGTATAATCTGAACAATCCCATAAAGTTGCTTTAATAGTCTCAAGTTTAGACATGATTGGATGCATTCAGGCTATAGGACAGTTTTATTAGAGCACTGAGGTTTAGAAAGAGTAAATAATTTGCTCAAAGCCACACAACTAAGGTATGCTGAAGCAAAGACTTGAAACTATGTCTAACTCCAAAATTCAAGTTTGTAACCACTATACAACATTCATCTCCCCTACCTGAGCTTGCATAGCTCCATCTGGTCTACCATCCAGGCCAGCAACTCCTGAATCAGCAAATCCCTTAGCAAATCTGCATCAGTGGAAATCTTGGGTGGGGAGCTGCAAAGGAGAAAACCCTTGTCAGGTTCTCTGAACCGGAGTCCTGCCCAGAGGAAGTAATATAGGCATCTGGGACACCAAAGGCCAGGGCTGGAGCAGGGAGAGACCGCATAGCTACTTCTCAGTTATCTTAGCTTTCAAACCTCAGCCACTTTTCTGGCAGCTCTGCTCAGGTTTGCCTGCCTGGGGAAGATGGGCTCTTCAATACAAGCAACGCCCAGTAGGATTCTGGTATGAGGTAGCCCATCTACCCACCTTGAAAAATATCCCAGAATGCACTCCTCAAACCTGAAATGCTACTCTGGTTCATTTACTCTTTAGAGTAATCTAAGTCTCAGATTCCTCTCCTTCCTCAGAGAGAGTAACTGATTTTCAGAGCACTGTCCCCATTTCTCAAACAGGCTTCCTGAGGTTTGACAGGGAGAAGTAAGGAGGCTAGTTCCTTGGCATCTCTCCTTTGCTGGCTTTTTCCTTGACCCAATGACTGCCTGCGTACTAAATCATCAATCTCAGAAACTCCATTCCCTCCTAGGGACCCTCCCCAACCCAGTCAAGTGTGCTTCTTTCAACTTGGCCTGACCTCCAGTGGTTTGCTCCATAAAGTCCCTCTTTGAATTCTTTAGCAGAAAGGGATGCTTAGCACAGGCCCTTGCTCTGCCCTGGAACCCAGGACAGGGACCAAGGAAGTAGTGGTGGATCAGAAATCAGGAGGTTCCTCACCATCCTCTGTCTGTTGACTCACCTCTGCTTCTCCTTTGCTTCCTCAATCCTGTTAGATTGACTGGCCAGCTCTAGGGTTCGGGCCTCCCTCTGGGTGATGTTGTGTCTCCAGCTAGTAAGATAAAAATTAGAGAGTGGGTAGGGATGAGAGAGACGCCAGGCCTTATTGAACCCAGGGGTTCTCAAATCTCTCATTACCTCAACCTAGGAGTAAACAGCATATTAGAGCATGGGGTACTCAATCCCCCAGTCTTCATCTTCAGCTGCCCCCACCAGTGAACAGCTTTTCAGTATCTCCCATACAGATCGAACATCAAAGGCAGGGGCAAACATAACAAAGAGAAGGAAGGAGGCCATGTCCTACCTCTAAAATTTGAAATTGCCCCATCAATAAGTTCATGGAAGCTACTTAGTTCCTCTTGCCTTCATCTTCACCTCCCTATGTTGGATTCTCTGTGAGCTTCTACATATCTCCCTGACACCTCCCTTAGAAGTAAAACCAAAAAGCAGTTGCTGTGGAACTGAGTCTACCCTATAATGACCCAATGTGGAGGGAGCTATGCTCCACAGGATTTTCATTGACTGATTTTTTCTAAAGTAGATTGCTACATCTTTCCTCCAAAGTGCCTCTGAGTGGACTAGAACTTCTAACCTTTTGTTTACCAGGCAAGTGCATTACCTACATTATCTAATGATTCTTTTAGAAATAAAGAATTGATAAATCATTCAACTCCTGCCTGCAGATTGGAGGGCTGCCCCAATCAGGGTCTAGGCAGGACCACGATGTCCAGGCAACTCTCTACCATTGTCTGAGTGAAAGATGCTACCTGATGCATCACATGCCCACATGGCCAGAAAGGTAGAGTCCAGAGGATATGGAACAGGGTGTGGTGTGCACCAGGACTCACTCGTTTTTCTTTCCCTTCTGGGCCAGGAGCCAGTTCACAAAGTCTTGTTGGCGGATCTTGTCCATAGCGATGCTATAGTCACTGATGAAAGTCCCCTCAGCATATCTTGGACCTCTAAGTTGAGAGCTACTGACCTTGGGGTAGGGTCTGAGGGGCAGGGAGAGGAGAGAGAAAAAACCAGGGTTCCAGGAAAGGAGCAGAGAAGAGAAATCACAATGCCATGATTAAAGGTTGCTGCTAACAGGAAGCAGGCAAACCAGCCAATTTCTTGGTAGTTTTTATGGAGACACCTGTTGCCACTCCATTAACTCCATGTAGTCTTGATCCAAGGTTCCATCCTCCTGCATTCTCAGTGTGTACCTTCTTGAGTCTAGGCCCAGAGGGATCCAGGTTCCTCTCATCTCAAAGGACTGAACATGTTCTTTATTCCTCTTACCCTTCCAATTCTTGATTCAGTTCTTTAGTTCACATTTGATGACAAAAATAGTAAACTATTACAGGACAGTACTTAAAGTGAGTAAGAACTCCTAACCTTCTCATCTATAAACTCATTTTATCTTGACACTCCTGTATGCTTAGCACTATTTAGTATCCTCAGTTTATAAACCAAGGAACCAAAGTTTAGAGAGAGAAATTTCTCTTATTGCATAGGTAGCAGGGTCAGGATTTACCCACAAGCAGTTTGGCTCAAGATTTAGCTTCATAGCATCTACATCAGGCTTCCTCACCATGTGAACGTTCCTGGTAGCCATTGCCGGAAATTTTACCTGGGCATACGGCTTGTTCATGAATCTGAGAATGCCCAACTCTATCCTCAGTCGAGCCTCTCTTGGTCCCTGAAACCACAATCAGAGCTGCCTGCTCTGTTCTTTTATAATAATGCCTACTTATCCTCACAGGATTTACATCTCTGTGGTTCTTTGTTGCCTCTTGGACCCGTTTGCTCAGTAAAACCATTTGTGAGGGAGCTCTGCTGGCCTAGTGGCAGCCAACTGTGCTGCAATCCTGAAGTGTGTGGTTCAAATCCACCAGATACTCCACTGGAGAAGGAGAGGCAATCTCCTCCTGTGCCAGCTGGATCTGATTCGATGGTACAAACAAGAAAGAAAGAAAAAGAAAAAAGACTTAAAAACCATTTGTGGACGCTTGAGACCTACAAAATTGTATTAAGTACAACCAAAAAAGACATGGTTAAAGCTTTGCCAGGAAGGGAGAGTCTGTCATCATCTTCAGATACTTAACCACTAAGACATCCACTTTCCTGATGTCTCTCTTGCTGCAACAGTAGTTTATAATATCCTCTAGTTCTAGTCTCACTCAGACTGCTGGAAAATTCCCCCTTGAGCTTTTCTCGTCCTGGCCTAGGATCCCTTATTCTCTCTCATCTCCCTCAACAGACTCCAGAACCCAGTCATCCCCCAGCCCTCTCCTCTGCCATTGATCCCTCCCTTCCTGTTACTCCTACCTGGAGTGAGCCTCCTCTTTCTCCCCTAGCACTGCTGTCAGGACCAGGGACATCAGGAGCAGAGAGAAGGTCTTCAAGGCCATCATCTTCCAAAGGTTTTTATTCTGCGCAAAGAGGCAAAAGGAGCAGAATAAGGCGGGAAGCATTATACTGAGAGAGCAGCCTGCATGAGGAGGGTTCTGACCACTGACTAGAGCAACACTGTGCGGAGGGTGCTGTGCTTCTGGATAGTGACTAGAAGGGACATGGAGCCTGGGAAACTTGCTTTTGGTTTACTTTGTTCATAGATAGAGTCCGAGTAGGGTGAGAGAAGAGTAGTGAAGGAGACATTCAGAGAAGATAAAGACCTGTGAGCTCGGGTGCATCCCACCTGTCTCCTTCTTGGCACATCTCCTGGCTCCTGGGCTGAACTTCATAGTTATATGATTTGGCAACATTATCTCCTTGGAGTCTTCTTAGGTTTATATCAACCAGCCTTCCTGCTCTTTAAATGACTATCCTTTAAATGATTGGAACCCTCTTGCCCTAAATTAAAACTACACATCAAACCACCTACTCTCTCCCCTTCTCAAGTTTGTTAGAGAAAGTCTTCCAGTAGTATGACCTTTACCTTTCTACTTCCAGCTTCATCTATTGTACCACGAGTCTTTGGTAAAGAGAAAGATCAGAGGAGAATCTTCCTTCCATGGTCTGAAAACCAGAGGTAAATCTATAGATCTGCACACTGCATGTCCTCATCTTCCTGCTTTGGCTATCTGACTGTTAAAGCAGCAGTCAGAGCTACCTTCCTGTCTCTTATATGGAGGAAGAAGAAGCGAGATGCCAGGTTGCTAAGCATCTCTGGTTTGTCAAGGTCCCCTCCTCTCCAGTCACCCAGGCCATCATCAATCCCAGCTTCTCTCTTACCAGACTTCCTCTCGAGTTCTTCCAGGAGAAGGACAGAACAGGGTCTCTCTTCCTCCTGTCTTCCTGCAAAATTGCTTCGAGGAAGTCTGCTTTTATATCCAGGCATCAGAGACCAGCTGATTAGCCTAAAAGCATCTTATCTCAAGAAATTAAACCCACAGCTCCTGCCACATTAAGTCCATTTTACACATAATAAAGTTGCCCTTTCCACTTGAACTACACTAATTGGTAATTAACATTTTGGGTATCTCCAACTGCTGTCTGGGGCTTGCCTGTGGGTAGAGTATCTTAAGTACCCCCATTCTCCTTCCCCCTCCTCTCCTCTGGGCACAAGGCCCAGCGCTACACATACACACACAAACCCCCCTCATTTGTTGCCCTGAGAGGATTGGGTGGGAGGGTTGTCTGAGTCCAAGTGATAGGCAAAGCCCCATGATTTTGGCACGGTGGTAATGTCTAGGGACTGTCCCAGAGATGGCTGAGCAAAGAGATTGGAAAATGAGAGGCACAGGGTCAAGAGAACCTGGAGAACAGGGGTTTCCTGGTGGTAGTGAGGTAAAGGAAGAACTTAGGCTCAAATTATCTTCATGCTTAGGGCAAGACAGAGTAGAGGCACATTTCTACCTGGGAACATGGAGAAAGTTGAAGACAGCTACTTGATCTAGGTATAAAGATTGAAAAGACTTAATTTCTACCCAAATGCATGCTCTTTACATGAGAGAACTAGATGGTCCTGTCTCTTCCATAAGACTGAAGATCCTTTAGTTAAGATGCTTTGCTGTCAAATTGGCAGACTTCCCAGGACAGAAGCTGCATATCCTTGATCAGGCTAGGGACTCTCTGAGGACAGGGATGTGTGCCAGCGTTATGTTCTCCTCATCACACAGGAGGTTTAAGGGTTAGATTTCTCTAGCAGTCCCAAGACTTCCCGAGGTGTGCCTTTTGCCTTTCTCCAAGTACCTGGCACATGTTTCTATCAGAGAGGTCATCAGTCTAGAAGGGATATAGTTTAGTAGACCCCTCAAGGCCCTCTTCCCTAGCCTCCCCTTCCCTTTCTTCATAGGTACACTGAACCGTAAATGTGAGTGCATGCCCTGCCAATTAGCTTCAGGGCTTAATACCTGCCATCTTTCTTTCCAGGTGAACTCCTCAACCTGGGAGCAGATTCAGCATGAAATTAAGTGCCTGTGTGGGATGAGAGGTAACTGGACTAGGAGTGTAACTCCCCTCTGCTTCCTAGAAACCTCCTCCCACCTACCCACTCATTTCCAACCATCAGAAAAACTTTTCTCTGGAAAAGCTCTCTAAATACTGTATCCCAGCTACTAACAGGCAGAGTTGAGACCTCATTTCAGATTTTATCTCTAAAGGGGGAACAAAGCTGCTGGGGTCTTTCTTCTTGTTGGGCAACACAGTTCACAGAGTCATAAGGATTTTGTCAATAGCTCTCCAATCTGAGCACCCCTGCCTGGAGGCAGAGAAGGTATCCCCAAAGAATGGATACCATTCCCTAGAACATCTACATGGTGTTGAACCAGAACCTTTTGGTGATGCCAGCATCTTCAAGGAAGGTTCTTGAATGGGCTTCAGAGCCCTGAGTCCTTGCCTAGTGGATTTGTTTGTTGGACTGGCCTGACCCCAAGGCCAGTTGTTTTTTAAGCCTCCATCCCACCCTTTCTTGGAGGGAATCTTTCTTCAGCCTTATATTTCTACCCTTCCACTTTTTTTTCCCTCTCCAAACATTTTATATTTTATTGTAATTTCCTTTTATCCTGGTTTTTTTTTTTGTGGTGTTTTTTTTTAACCTTTGGCCCTCCTGCCTGGCTGTGGACAAACAAGAGAAGAATGCTCCAGGGCTCTGAGGGAGGTGCCAGCATGGCTCAAGGGAGGCTTGTGAAGACAGCTGATTAGCATTGCCTTCCAGTTCAAGTCTGCAAGTGCTGTCTTTCTGTGATATATGTACAAGCATCAAGGAAGCAAGGTGGGAAGGATCTGGAGAAGATACCAGAGAAGCCAAATTCCCGGGGAGGGGAACCATGGCCCTCACAGGGCATGTTGGGGCAAGGGAATGGAAAAAAGATCCTTGGAAGTTTCTGGAGATTGAAAGGGCCGACTGGACTTGGTCCAAAAAATTCAATATATTCAGTTGATAGGACAATTGTCCTGATCAAATGTATCCCAAAGGCCCTAGTATCTATGCAGAGAATTTTCAGAATACAGAGGTCAGAGACGGTACTACAAAGGGACAGAAACTCAGATACAAAGGCTGAGAGTCCAGATAGGTATAGTGTACAGGACAGGGGGTGTCTGAGGAGGCTTAGAAGTGAGGGAAATAGAGAGGTAAGGTGTGGGCAGGGGGTGATGGGCTCTCCCATTTTGAAAGGTAACCCAGGTTATGCTTCCCAGCCCCTCTTGGATCCTTAGTCAGGGACCCAGGAGTGAAAATGGCATCAGCAGAAGAGCATTTGGGGTTTGCTCATTCATACCGGGTGCACAGTGACTCATCTCCCCTCCTCCTCCCAAGGCCCGTAGGGCTGCCAGCGACATTCCAAGCTGAGTTCAGCAGCCAGGCCTAGGTGACTCAGAGGAATGGCTGCAGTCTCCCACCATGGAGTCTATGTCTGAAGACCACTCGGTACTCAACCTCACTGCTGACTCAGAAGGCAGATACCCCCCTCTGATGTGGCCTCAAAGAACACCATGTTTGGTGGTTTGAGTTTAATATCCCTTCAACTGAAATATGGGAAGACCTGCTTCCCTGGATTGAGATCTGAAGTGCAACCAGGGTGCTCCTTAGAGGTAAAGACAGTAGAATTTCCTCTCCCATACTTTGAGTATGCTGTCAGGAGGGGCTATTCTTTGGGAAAGGACAGCATACTGGAAGAGGTAGAGGATCAGACAAAAGGGAAAAAAAGACCCTCAACAAGATGGATTGACACAGTGACTGTGCCAACGGGCTCCAGTATGTCAGAGATGGTGAGGATGTCACAGAGTAGCGAAGACTTGGCTCTGTTGTTCATTGGACCGTTGATGGCAACTAAAAATAACAACATGTTCATAGTTGCATTATATGGTAGCTTTCTGTTCAAAATAAAGAATTTGAAATACATGAAAATGGAATTCCAAGGGAGCTCTGGAGGCCTAGTGGCAAGACGCTGCACTGCAATCCCAGAGGTATGAGGTTCAAATCCACCAGATGCTCTGCTAGAGAAGGAGGGGATAATCTCCTCCTGTACCAGTCAGATCTGATTTGATGGTTGTTGTTGTTGTTGTTATGTGCCGTCGAGTCATTTCCGACTCATAGCGACTCTATGCACAACAGCCCTAAACCCTGCTCTATCCTGCACCAACCGCACTGCCTCTGACACACCCATCCCGATT